TTTCCCTCCCTTACTTCCAGAGTTAGAGTTTGGAATCAGAATTCCAAAGTGGCCAGAGTGCTTTAGAACTGTGGGCAGTCTCTTGGTTGTTGTCCTGTTCGGGGCTTATGAATGAGTGTCTGAGAGGAGCGCAAAAAAGTTGCAGATCCAAGATGACCGGTCTTTGATGTAGGTCAGTGTGTAAGGAGAAATTCCTTCCCGCCTCCAATTAGAGAACCTGACTGAAACACTTTAACAGGCTTTGCCTCTGCAAAAATCTTTAGCAGCAGAGTTCTCCTGGATTTATCTATTAAAGGGAGCTCAACAACCTTTAATTCTGATAATACAAAAGAGTAAGTAGGTAAGCTCAGTTCTTTGAAATGTAACCAGCAAACCAGGACACAGCGCCTGCAGAAACTTTTATCTTTTATCAAGATGCAAAGTTTTGTTTTTTAATTGAGCAAGACAGAAAATGGTACAGGCATGAAAAAGTTATCTTCACGATTACTGTGAAGATAAATCCTAAAATGATCAAAGTGCCTTGCATTGCTTAATCATTGTATAGCAAGTAAAAGCTTTAAAAGCAACTCAGGTTTTAGCTTTTTTCTCACTGCTTTTAGGGCTTATCAAAAAGCCCAAATTACCCATCAAGTAATCTCACCTGTTCTTCTTCTGAGAAATCTGATTTGCTTGTCATAGGAGTACACATTTATATAAAAACATCAGTCTTTTGTAGGGTCGCCGGCTCCAGGTTGGGAAATACTTGGAGATTTTGGGGGTGGAGTCTGAGGAGGGCAGGGTTTGGGAAGGGGAGGGACTTCAGTGGGATATAGTGCCATACAGTCCATCTTCGGAAGTGGCCATTTTTTTCCAGGGGAAATTATCTCTGTCACCTGGAGATCAGTTGCAATTCCAGGCGATCTCCAGACACCACCTGGAGGTTGGCAACCCTGATCTTATCTTTCTTTAAATCTGTTCTACCATAATCATGTGATTATTATCTAGATAACTGATTGGTTCATGACGAAATATGGGATATGAACGTAAGTGCAAATGAGCCAATCAGCAGGCGCATATGAGATAAAGCCAATCTCAACTTTTAACCTCTGTTAAAAAGCAGTTAATCTACATTTTCTGTAACTGTTCCAACTAACTGTCCAACATGTAAGTAATTTGAAGCAAACAGAGTTCATTGGCAGTTGAAAAGTGCTTGAACTCTCAGATAGCTTGTAAACTCGGCAAGAAAAGCTTATTGATGCCAGAGCAACCCCTACAAGCAGGTCTCAGATTTTTTAAAAGAGGGATACGCTTCTAAACCTAATGTCGTTTTCAAGACCCACGTGCAGAGTAACCATATGCTACTTTCCCCCACACCAGCATAAAATGCAGGAATCTCACATCATTTAACAATCAACAATCTGATCATTTGTTTTTTGTGTTTAGTTGTTTATGAATATATTATAGCACTACCGAGCCCCAAACTGTGTTTCTCAGCCATGTCAGAGATACGTCGAGGCAAACTTGGTTTTGCCACCAAGCCTCCCAGAGCCTCTTCTCTCAGTTTGCTCTATTCTTTCTCCCTCCTGGTCTTGTTTGGTGTAGTGGTTAGGAGCGCGGACTCTAATCTGGGAGAACTGGGTTTGATTCCCCACTCCTCCACATGCAGCTGCTGGAGTGATCTTGGGTCAGTTCTGGAAAGAGCAGTTCTGGAAAGAGCTCTCTCAGCCCCACCTTCCTCACAGGGCGTCTGTTGTGGGGAGGGGAAGGGAAAGGAGATAGTAAGCGGCTCTGAGACCCCTTCGGGTAGTGAAAGGCGGGATATAAATCCAATCTCCTCCTCCTTCCCCCTCCCTCTTCCTCCCATTACGCCCATTTTCCCACAACAACAGCCCTGTAACGTAGGCCAGGTTGAGAGTTTGTGATGGGCCCAAGGTCACCCAGCAAGTGTCCATGGTAGAAGTGCAGATTTGAACCCAGGTCTCCCAGGATCCTAGTCTGATGCTCTATCCATGCCAGATTTGGAGTCTGTTTCAATTTCATTTTGACCAAAAGAAAAATTGGGGTGGCAGGCAGGCAGGAAGGGCGGTTCTACCAAATGTCAGGATTTCATTCTGCAGATGCTTAGAGGCAGACAATGTTTCCCCAAACCTTCTCACCCCTCTGTTAGAGGCTAGAGCACCCCTATGGTACATAACATCAAAAAGCCCTTTGCAAGGGCTGAAGCTACAAATTGGTCATGGAAAACTACAAAGAGACATCAAAGAGAAATGAAAGAAAAATTCTTTTCTTTTCTTTTTGGAAGAGAAGAAGAGGAATCAATCGCTATAAAGCAAATTTTGGGGAAAGGAATTTCCCGTAACAATGCTAATCCAGCTTCAAATAGTCCAAGGAACTTTTCAGCATCATGTACCATTATTGCATTTGTCCCAAAGAGTTGATGATGAGCTCAGTCACCGAGCTGGTAGGAGGTTTGGTTATGAATAGTTTCCGCCGTGTGAATAAGTGGGATAAGAGATGCTCCATTAAATGGTAACCCAGTCTCAACAAGGAGTTGCATCACTTTGGAGCTTGTCTCCTGTGACCATCTGTAATGCCGTCTGTTGCGCTGATCTAATTCGAACCCGCTTCTGTCACACACACAAGTACACTTTTTTTGTTCCTGCCATGTGCCCAGGCTTATTTCACAATTTGTTTCTCAGAGAAAGAAACAGAAGCTTTGTGTGAAGTGGACTAAAATGGAATTAGTGACAGGCAGGATGCTCCCTCGGCTCAGTTTGGAATGTGCTCGCTTCAGACAAGGGAGGCTCAGTTTGGATTGGGCCAGAATTAGTTAACTGAAACTCAGCCTCATTCAAGGCTAATCCCCCAAAACTCTGAGGAGATCCCTACCAAAATTCCACTTCCCTTCTCCATTTCTAAGCTCATTCTGTTGTGGGGAGGCGGTGAAGCCTGGGGGCCTTAAGGTTGCCAGTTTCCAGGTAGTAGCCAGAGATCTCCCGGGATTACAGATGATACCCAGGTGACAGAGATCAGCTCCCCTGGAGAAAATGGCTGCTTTGGAAGGTGGACTCTATGGCAGGGGTGGCCAAACTTGCTTAATGTTAAGAGCCACATAGAATAAATGTCAGATGTTTGAGAGCCGCAAAACATGGACAAGCATTACACACACATTTTTAATTGAGAAATACGCAAATTTGCTTTTTATTAACAGTCAGTGAGACTGCCAAAAATAAAAGCAAAACGTAAAAACAGGTATTGGTAATGATATTTATTTATCCAATCATGTTCATTTGTTTGCTAATTAGATTTATTTGTCTAAGAGAAAGAAGAGAGAGAGAAGAAGAGATTGGATTTATACCCCGCCCTTCACTTGGAGTCTCAGAGCGGCTTACAAAGTCCTTTCCCTTCCCCTCCCCACAGCAGACGCCCTGTGAGCTGGGTGGGGCTGAGAGAACTCTGACACAAACTGCTCTTTTTCAAGGACAGCTGTGCCAGAGCTTGTGACTGACCCAAGGTCACATCAGCAGGTGCAAGCGGAGGAGTGGGGAATCAAACCCGGTTCTCCCAGATTAGAGTCCACACACTTAAGCACTACAC